TTTTTTTTTTGGTACCAGGGATAGAACTCAGAACCTTGCCCTTGCAAGACAGGCTCAGTGCCACTGAGCTAAGACCCCGGCCCCTCCATCTGTAATTCTGTACATTGGTCAGATAGTCAGGTTTAAGAACCTGCACAGTAGGCTGATGTCTAAAGCCCAATGAATCATAAATTTATTTTCTGTTCATCTATATGTTCATTCACCCACTGTAACCTTTGCTTTGTGCCAGGCACTTTATAAGACATTGGGGGCACAAAAATCAATTATTCTCTGCCCAGGGGCACCCCCTGTCCATTTAAAGAGATACAACCCGTACCTAAAATAAAATAGTGGCGTATCTGTCAAAGGTCCTCTGTGTATTTAGTACTGAGGCGGGAACTGACCTTTGAATATAGATACAGTATGGAGCTTTAGGGATGGTCAGAACCTGGTCCAAACTTTGCTTTTGTTTGAATACTTCTATGGACTGCAAATTCATTTAATATACTGGCCTCTTCTCTTGTCTTTCAAATGCCAATAGTCTACCTTTCTTGTGAAATTGTTGTAAGGAGTACGTGAAATAATGCACATGAAATTGACCAGTGCCTATAATAGGAGCTCGGTGGAAAAGAGTTCTTTTTCCTTGGTTCATAGGTAGGAAGGGAAAGTCAGAGCACGAAAGTGAATTGTCCAAGATATTCTAGCAATATTATAGCAGACTGATGTAAAGTACATTACCTGGGACTGTTCCAGGGCTCAGTGCTTTCACACAACCCTGGCAACTCTTCTTCTCTTTTGTAGATGGGAACGTTTGGGAGAGGTGAAGTTACTATCTGGAAGGGCCTCAGTAATAAGTGGCAGAGCCAGGATGCACACACGGGCTTATCTGGCCTCCAGCCCAGTGGTGTCCCATCCCACCATAGTCTAAACGTTGCCTGGTCCTCTTTTAATCTCATCTTCTCAGATCACTTGAAAAGGGCTCACTGACCCTGTATTGTTTTCAGAGCACTGGGTGAGCCCTGGGCGTGGAGTAATCCCATCAGCACCCAGCGGCCTTTTTCCTCTTCCTGACTCCCTCCCCTACAGGTCTCTTTAGTCCCTTCCGTTGCCTGGGAAACCCTGTCCCTGTGAGTGCTTGATGATGCTTTAGTGGATCGGGTGATCTCTGAGGTCACATCCCATGTCACTGCGACCCCAAAGGCAGCTGAAATGTTCTAGTATGTAGGACAGTTCTTACAGGGCTTGAACAGAAGACAGTTCATAAACATCACAGACAGAGGAGGGGAATTGAAGGTCCTTAGGACATCCAGGTGGTCACTGTGTCCTGAACCTGAAATAGCCTTTCCAGCATGCTCCTGACAGAGCCCTGCTACTGCAAGGTGGGGACCTTGTTTTGCTCTGAATTCTACTTGGCCCCTTTCACAAAAGCTGACCCTCACAAGCATCACCAGGCAAGCACTGTTTCCTTGGAGAGAGTGCGGAGGAGAAATGCTGTCTTTAACAGGGAAGCGTATGAGAAAGTGAAGTTGCGCCACGGAGGATACTATCATTGTGTCTGGTCCATTTGCCCCACACTCTCTGTCACTAGTTTTGCATTTTTACCAGGATGTGAGCCAGAAGGCAGCAGCCTTGCTGGAGAGCAAGTTCGTGATCAGGCCCTGTATACTCCACCTCATTTCACCTAGCTGAAGAGGAAGGATGTTGGCAAAGGAATGTCAGAAGGAGGAAGCGATTTCTCAGCTTACAGGTGGCAGGACCAGGATTCAAAGTAAGAGCTACCTACTGACTCCGAAGTCCTTATTTGTTAGGCTGCCCATACAGTTCTTTTTTAGGGGTCATAGTGGGTTTTGTTTTTGTTTTTATTTTCCAATCTTTCAGAGTCAGAATAGTGAAATATTACAAGGCTAGAAGCTCTCTGATCCAGTTTCTATGCAGGGCAGGACTCTGGCTTCATCAAGAAGCATTACTCAGCCAGGTATCCTGTGCAGCCTCTCCTGAAACAGGGAACATGCCACCTCCCTCCACATGCACAGCTCTTTTAGTATGAGTTTATCTTACACTAAAAAAAGATTTTCTGGAAGTGGGAATATAGCTTGATGGCAGAACAGGTGCTTAGCATTCACAAGGCCCTTGATCCATTCTCCAGCACCAAATAACAACACTGACCAAGTTACCTCCCGTGGAGCCTCCCATCTTGTTCCCAGTTCCACCCTTAGAGGCTACTCCTGTCATCAAACTTAGCAGGGACACTGCCTTTCACAAGCAGTGCCTGCTCCCTCCCTGACTAACCTCTCATCAGGGACACATCCCCCAGGTCTCTTACCCATTCTGCAAAGGACCCTTTTTAGAGACCCCTTCCATCTAGGTGCCCACAGGTGTCCCTCATCAAGGACGTGGTCCCCATCTGAACACAGATCTACCAGCCCAATGAGCAATAAATAAATCTCAAATGAGAACATAACAATTAGTTAACTTGCAGTACTACACACTCAATGTGAAAACTAAAAAAAGGACAGGAGAAACAAAAGAAAGAAACTGTGGATAATCCAGTGTCTTAGTTTGGGTTTCCCAGGAGACCCAAAGACTTGATAGCAAATCATTTATGTGGAAAGTGGTCCCAGAAACCCCTAGTAGAGTGTAGTAAAGTGAGACAGGAAAGGGAAGAAGCCAGCAGTGGATGTGTTAACAAGCAGATCATAAGGTAGCCAGAGCCAAAACTCTGATGGCCAATGTCAAATGTATACTTCAGAGTTACCCCATTCAGGGGCCAGAAAGCTGGGTAATTATGTACCACTTTGTGTCAGCCATTGGTTGTGGGCTGGTGAGGGAGAGAGGTATCAATTACCCTGCACTTCTAACCTGCCCAGTATGCAGACAGAGTCTGTTCTGGGTCCAGGAAAGCCCTCAGGCAGAGGTACAGAGGCTGGCAGTTGTAACTCTGACTGGAATTTTCCATGATGGTAAGAACCAAGGAGACATGGACAGAACATCCACAGCTGCACTGTACCCAGAGACACTTGTTAGCAGTTTGGAGTGTTCCCGTCCAACCTTACATAGATATAGATATAGATATAGATATGCACATCTTTATGTTTATTCAGTTAAATTGGGGCCATGCTGTATATTTAGTAATGTGATTTGCTATTTTCACTTAACATGATCTCATAAGAATTATTCCATGATCTTAAATATTATTTGAAAACATGTTTTAATGGCTCTATGTTATTCCATTGTAAGACTCTTCAATAATTTCCTCAGTGATAGAAAGGCAAGCTGTTTAAGATTCTGATGGAGTCTCACCATGTTGCCCAGGCTGGCCCTGAACTCTTGGGCTCAAGCAATTTCCTTACCTCAGTCTCCCAAGTAGGTGAGACTGTTGTTATGTGCCAGCACATCTCGCTCTAAGATGAGTTAGTGGAAATTAACCCCCAGCTCACTGGGATGAGATAATGTAGAAGTGGCAAGGGTAGGAGTTGAGGCTAGAGTCAGTGAGGAGGACAGATAAAAGAACTGAAGAAGGATAAGCAGGAAAAAATGAAGTCTGGTACCTATCTCTTGCTTCTGTCTTAGTTACTTTTCTCATAGCTGAGACAAAATACCCAACATCCAAAGTTAAAGGAAGGAAGGTTTATTTGGCTCACATTTTGTAGGGGTTTCAGTTCCTAGTTGGCTGGCTCCAAGGCAGGGTGGCATGGCAGAGGGGCATCACAGAGGAGAAACAGTTCATGGCAGGCAGAAGGCAGCAAGACAGCAAGCAGAAAGTGACAAGCAACCCTCTTTCTATCCCTTTTATCCTATCAGGCTACCCCCACCATTAGGGTAGATAGCACTCACACCTAGAGTGAAGCACCTTTAATCCTATAACCACACCGTGAATTAATCACAGCATCATATCCTTGATCCCAGTCTCACACACCCTAGATCCAACCACTTCTGAAAAGCCACACCTATGCCCACATGAGGCTGGGGAGTGATGTTTAGGTACAAGCCGTAACATCTTCCTATTGGAGAGTATCCTGCAGTGCCTGACACATAGTAGATACTCAGCAGTGTTTACCAGCCTCCTACCATGTGCTGAGCTCTGAGGAAGAGAAAGCTGATTAAACATGACTTGATTCTTTTTCAGAGGGCACACAAGGAATATGCTGAATACCTACTATGTGCCCAAAATATCTCAGTGTCATTCATCCTATTGCCGCCTATGAGGTGCCATGTTTCAAGCATTCTCATTTTTTCAGACAAGCCTAGTTTCAAAAAGGTAAAAAGGCTTCACTAAAATCTCACAGTAAGTCACTATCTAGGCTGGGTCTGTTCCCAAAGCCCTTTGTTGTTTACTTAGATCAGGAAGACTAAGGAGAGTATTAAGGATGGGATATTTGAAGTGGGGCTCCAAGAACAGTGGGGAGATAATGGGGCACAGTCATTTGAAGGAAGGATGGTGACTCTTAAATGAGCCAGATATGATATTGTAATATGATAATAAATATTTACTTAGTCTTTGCTCCCAGGTCCTGTATGGAGCTCCCAAAACCTTGTAGATAAGGCTGCTAGGGAGAGTCTTTTGTTCTAATAGATGGTCTTTGATCTCTAGTTCCTCATGTAGAGCCCTCCAAAGATGATAGGAGTATTTTGTATTCTAAAGAGGCAACTCTTGGGCTCCTGGAGAGCCTCCAGAGGGGGATGGCTGCTGCAGAACAGTCATGGGTCCTACCCAAGCCCTGACCTCCAGTGAGGGGACAGGAGCTGAGGGTTGAGGCGCTCAGTGATGGTGTGATGTGATTACCATGCTCATGGAATGAAGCCTGTGTAAGAAGTCAAAGGCCAGGGTTCAGAAAGCTTCAGGATCGCTGAACATGTGGGAGTCCCTGGAGGGCAGCGTACTTGGAGATGGCATAGAAGCTCCTTAGCAACCCCTGTACTTTGCTCTATGCCTCTGTTCACATCTGCCATTCATCTACATCCTTTGTAACACACTAATAAACGTAGGTGTTTCCCTGAGTTTTGTCAGCCACCCTAGTAAGTTAATGAAGCCCAAGGAAAGGGTCTTGGGCACACTTGTTGGGTTACAAGGGACAACCTTGGACTTGTGATTGACATCTGAAATGGAGGAGGCAGTTTCATGGGACTGAACCCTCAACCTGTGGGATCCGATACTGTCTCCAGGTAGACAGTGTCAGAAGTGAGTTAAATAATAGCACATATAACTGGTAGACACTGGAGAATGGCTTGGTGTGTGTGGGAGGGAACCCATATATCTGGTGACAGAAGTGTTGTGTTGAGTGGAGTGTGAGAAAAAGTGGGCTTTTTTTTTTTTCCTTTATACCAGGTGACCAAGGCCTGAATTTGGCAGAGGCAATGAGATTGGAGGGTGAGAGGGTGGGGAGCCAGCAGCAGGGAGGTATTTCACATGTTGAGGTGACACTGGTGTGGTCAGGAGGACCGTGGAAGGTAGGTCAGAAATTACCTTGAGGCTGGAAGGACACCTGGTTTTTAACTAAACTCTACTATGTGTTTCAATTTTGGGAGCAGGGGACTTTTAAGACCATCTTCAGCTCCCTGGGATAGGGGGGAACAGGGGGAGAAAAGCAGGGAGGAAAGGTGCGCACACCAAGCCCCAGCGCAGGTGACACTGGACCATGTCACGTTATGCGTGTGGTGAGTATCTGGTAGAGCAGATGCTCTTCCTGTTCTTGGCACAGGAAGCCTGCGTAAGTCAGATGTGGACAGAGCAGAAGGCAGAGCTGGACACCTACCGCGTTTCTACAGTGTGCTGCTCCCAGAGCCCTTGACGTGCAGTGTCCTGTGCTTTTCTCTTCCCAGCATTGGTGCTCTGGTGGGCCTGTCCATAGCAGCAGCGGTCCTCCTGGCCTTCATTGTCACAGCCTGCGTCCTTTGTTACCTGTTCATCTGCTCAAAGCCCCACAAGAAGCTGGACTCAGGCTTAAGCTTACAGATGACAGGTAAGAGAGAAACCACAAGCATTCCTTGGGTTGGGCAGGCCAACATCTTTACAGAGGCAAGATAATTAGAAGCAATGTTTGGAACATTTACCTCCCAAGTTCCTGAATATGCAGCAGCAACAGCTTTGGCAGCGCATTTCTCAGAAGATTCGTGATCTGAATATTTCCATCCCAAATCTTCATGGCCTCAGTGTTTAAGTTGGTGTTCCACCATCTCACAGGGACTAGTCCATGTGGTAGATGATGTTTAATTCTAGCCTTGGGGAATGCAAATTGATTGTAATATTATCCCAAACAAAACAGAATAAGAAAAATTTGTCGCTCCCCACCCTTACTCAGAAACTAAATGCAGGAATTTTTTTGATTAGCTCATATTCTGAAAAACCATTGTTTCATCACCATAGGCCATTGAGAGCTTCTCAGGGGAAAAAGGAATTGCTTTTTCTTTTTCTTTTTTTTTTTTTTTGGCGGTACCGGGAATCAAACTCAAGACCTTGTGCTTTTGAGGCAGGCACAGTACCACTGAGATAAATCCCCAGCCCCTCATAAATCTTTTTTTGGATATATTATTAGGGCTTCCTACGAAACTGAAACTTTTAAGTCCCTATTGGCAAAAGATCTTTCTGAAGCTGAGCATGGTGACCTATAATCCCAGCATTTGGGGAGGCTGAGGTAGGAGGATTGCAAGTTTAAGTACTTCCCTGGTAACTTAGTGAGACTCTATGCTCACTCTGTGCTCTCTTTGCTCCATGCAAAGGCCTTGCATTCAATCCTGACTTCCAACAACAACAAAAAAGTATTATTATCTCAATTTTACAGATTAAGAAATGTTGGATCACTTGCCAGAAGTGCCCCAGCTAACAAATGGTGAGGTAAAATCCAGCCCGTGCCCTTCTGCTTCTAGTCATGTTCTTTCTCCTGTCCTCCACAGAGTCTGTGGAAGTATATAAATAAGCACAAAATTGTTTGATACCAAATGCATTAGTTAGTGCAGAAAATGATTAGTTAAAACAGAGGTGAAAAGTTGTCCCAAAGCAGGAAAGATAAAGGTAAAGTTGTGTGGGCAGGACTGAGAGAGAGGTAGGCCATGCCTGGGTCATTCGTGCTGGGGCACTGAAGGGAAGATGGCCCAGCGGGATGGGGGAGAAATTTAAACTAAGAAGTAGAGGTAGCAAGAGCAGCAAACTTCAGGGAGGAGGAAGAGGGCAGGAGGATAGTTGCTAAGCCTCAGGGGAAGGACAGGGCTGACTGCCATCATTTATATGACTATAGACATTTTACAGAGTAAACTGAGGCCTTGAGAAAAGAAACTTGCTTAAGTCCACACAATGAAAGCAGCAAATGTGTACAATAATGTATATAAATGTGTACAATCATACCTACCAACAAAGTTGTTGCAAAAATTTGAAATGATGCTTACAGGGTACCTAACTAGTCTCAAACAGAAGGTGGACTTTCAACAATCAGTCTTTCCCTCTCTTTTTCTCTCTCTGTTGTGGTGCTGGGGATCAAACACAGGGCCTCACACATGCTAAACATATGCTCTGCCACTGAGCTACAATCTCAGCCCCAATTCAACCCTCATCGAATTATTATTAGGCACTTAGAGTTTTACCCATTGATCTTCTCAAAGACACTGCTAAGAACCACATCTTAAATGCCTTTGTATCCCCAGGACACTGCATAGGACCTGTACTAGGGCTATGCTTGCTCTGTGGAAAGAATACAAGCTTTGAAATCCAGAAAAATAAAAAGTAGACGATGGACCCAATACTTAGTAGCTATGTTAATGTTGATTTTCTCTGAGCCTCAATTATTTACTATAATATGGACTAATACCCACCTCAAACACTTGTTACAGAGACTTGTTAGGAGAATTAAATAAGATAATTATACCAATGCATGGCTGGGGATTTAGCTCAGTGGTTCTGCTGCCTGCCTTGCAAATACAAGATCCTGAGTTCAATACCCGGTACTAAAAACAAAACAAAAAAAGATAATTATACCAATGCATTTTAGCCATTTAGGAAACATAGATCTTCTTATTGTAACTTTAAAATAGAACTTGATATGTTTGCTTGTAGGCTTCCTTCTTTCTCAAGTACCTCTTGGCTTACCATTAAAAAAAAAAAAAAAGCCAGCAGTTTTTCAAAGATAATTTTCAAAGATCCACCACCACCCCAAGCATCAGCACTATCGTCGGATTTTAATAACTTCTATTACATATTAGCCAAAGGAAGAGTTGGTAACGTGTGAGTCTGGTTGATTCTCCTGGTTTCTCTACAGGCTTGAGGTTATGGTTTTAAGGGGCCCGGGATACAGATGTGGGGGAAACCCCAGACTCTGGGAAAGAGCCAGGTACATAAGACACCCTGGGTCCACAAGCTCAGTATAAACCACAGCTGTGATGTGGCTTCCAGAAAAGGTGTATGAATCTCAAGTCACAAAAGAAGTACAAAACCTACAAGCAGAAGAGCCACGGTCCTTCTTCACTCTCAGCTGAACAGGACAAACCAGTCATCCCATCTTAGAGGTAGCTTTTCATAATTTGCTCTGTAGGGTTCCAACTTTGGGTTCTCATTGCCTGAGGGTTCCCAATATACAAGCAAACATACCAAGTGGGGATTCTTGAGCAAAATAAAATATTCCAGAGGTTCGCTTCTTTGTGTTACTGGAGACTGAGGCATGGGCCTTTGCATTTGAGCTACATCCATAGCCCTTTTCAAAATTTTTTAAATTTTGAGACAGGGTCTCACCAAGTTGCTAAATTGCCCAAGCAGGGTTTGAACTTGTGATCCTCTTGCCTCCATCTCCCACAATGCTGGGATTATAAGCATGTGCCACTATCCCAGTTAGTGCAAAGGTTTTACTGGGACCAAGTTGCTTTGTTGCTTTGAGCAAGAAATTTATCATTTCCAGTGAGAGTCGGGGATGGGTCAGGGTGGGGGTAGGAGAGTGATATAGTTCATAGGTGTTCTCCCTGCTAATCAGAACTCGTTGGAAATACAAAATGGGAAAAAATAGCACTTAGTAAGTACGATCCACTGACTACCCATAAACCTTTAAAACTTGAAATTCAAAAGTAATAGAAAAGTGAGACTAGCCTCACTTTCTTTTTAAAAATTTTGGTCTTATTAGTCCATATTTGCCATACGTAATAATTACATTCATCGTAGGGAGCTGGTACATGTTCACAAATCATCTTAATTCCTTTTACTTCCTCTTCCTCTCCCCCTTCCATCTCTTGACCCCCTTCTCAGTTTGCAAAATATTTACAGTATCTCCCTGTTTCCCGTTGTCTACCTTTTAGCCTTTGTTTCTACCCCATTTATGAAGTGGTAATTGAGATCTAGACAGAAGAGGTTGGCACAAAGTTGGACAATGATTTAGTAGCAAAATGAGAACTTGAGCCAGCATCTTGTAATTCCTAGAAACCCAAGGGATTCCCTGGAGTCCTGGTTGCCAGCTGCTGAAAGGGACTTTGACCAATCTGAATGGGAGTCCAGAAAGGCGACAGCTCAGGTCTGGGAATCAGGCACTTGAGGATCAGCCCAACAGCCTGGGAGATTTGGCCTTGGACACAGGAAACTCAGAGCTCACATATGAGGACCTCAGATCTTTGCAAGGCTGTTCAGAGGCAGGAGAGGAAGTTGTAGGGAGATAGATGTTTATTCAATAAAGGCAGAACTTATTTACAGTAAGACTGAAATACTCTTCCAAAAAGCAGCCCCACATCATTCTGAGTCTTATTTGGCTTACCAATTTGTGGTTCTTGGTTTAAAAAAAACTCAGAGCTGTATTCGTGGAAGGAAATCAGAAAACAGCTACACATAGGATTCAGCTAAGGGGATTCTTGTATCAATTAGAAGGTTGAACTATATCCCTATACCAATTGGAATGCCACACTATATAAACTTACACAACAGAAGATCCCAAGGAGTCCACAAAACACATGTACAAAATAATGCCTTAGAATTAATAAATGTGTTTAGCAAGGTTAGGGTATGTAAAATCAAAACCAGCCATCAGTTGTATTTATATATACTAGTAATAAAAACTGAAACCAAAATTAAGAACACATGAATACCATTTACAGTTATTTTCTCCCCCCAAATGAAATAGGTATAAATCTTACAAAATATGTACAGGATGTATTTGATAAAAACTACAAAATGTTGATGAAGGAAATTAAAGAGACACATTGTATTCGCAAACCAAAATGTAAAAATTGCAGCCTATTTTTGGTTGAGAATGGTGGTACAAATCAGTAATTCCAGCTACTTGGGATGCTGAGGCAGGAAGATCACAAGTTCAAGACCAGACTGGGTAACTTAGTGAGATCCTGTCTCAAAAACTAAAACCCAGAGCAGGGCATGGTGGCACATCCCTGTAATTCCAGCACTCTGGTGGCTGAGGCAGGAGGATCACCTTGAGTTCGAGGCCACCCTGGGCTATATAGTGAGTTCAGAGTCAGCCTGAACTACAAAGGGAAACCCTGCCTCAACCCCCTCCCAAACAAAACAAAACAAAAACAAAAGGCTGCGTAGCTCACACAGCCTGGGTTCAGTCCCAAGCACCTTTAGAAAGAAAGTACAGATTTTTGTATAGATAAGCTAATTTTTAAAATTTTATGGGAAGACAAAGGAGCTACAATAGCTAAAATAATATGGAAAAAGAATAACAAAGAGGAATGCACACAACCCAATTTTAAGATTTACTATACAGCAACTATAACCAGCAGTAATCAGGACAGGGTGGTATTAGAGGAGGGACAGATCTCTTTGAAAATACAGTCTAGAAACAGATGCACACCATAAACATGTAGATTTTTGACAAAGGAACAAAAGCAATTCAACTGAATAAGTATCTTTTCAATAAATAATGTTAGAATGAATAGTCTGTAATAGGTTATAAAAGTAAATAAACCTTGCTGGGCACATCACACATGGTTGTAATCCCAGTTACTTGGGAGGCTGAAGCAGGAAGATCACAAGTTTAAGGTTATCCTGGGCAATTTAGCAAGACTCTCAATAAACTCTTGAGAACTCAAGATAAACTTTAAAAGGCAAGGGATGTAGCTCAGTGGCACAGCAATTACCTAGTATGTTCAAGGCCCTGGGTTCAAACCCCAGTACCACAAAAAAATAAAAAATAAAAATAGTAATAAAGAAATAAACCTTTACATCAAGATATATCATGTAAAGGTACACATTCCCAATGATGAATGTCATCATATTGTATACCTAAAATGTATCAGTAAAATGAATGAAGAAAAAAAAAGAATACGCTGCAATGTGAAGAGAAAAAAAAGAAGCCTTTACCTAAAACTCATACTTTTTAGAAAAATTATCTCAACATCAATTTTAATTTAAATGATAATAAGGAAAGAAAAGGGAGAACATTTTCCCGACCTGGGGTTAGGCTCCTGCGATAAGGCACCCAAAGTACAAAACATTAATAATTAATTAATTAATTGTAATATGCATAAAAATTTAAAGGGTTTGTGCAGAGAGAGACTCTGTTAAGAGGAAGAAAACTGGCCCGAGGGTGTAGCTCAGTGATAGAGTTAGTGCTTAGCCTGTGTGAGGGCTCTGGGTTCACTCCCAGTACACATAAATGAAGGCTTCTGTGCAGAATGTGTAAAAAGCGCTCTAACATCAACATTAGGAAAACAAACACTCCCTTTAGGAATTGAACGGAAAGCTGGAACAGACATTTCCTGGAAGAGGACGTAGAAATATAGCAAGTAAGCAATGAAAATATGCGCAACTTCTCTAGCTAAGGAGAAAACACGCACCGGTGTCACGGTCACAGACTGCCCACCTATCGGGACACTGAAGAGGAGGCAATGAGCCTACAAGTGAGGCCACAGAGTGCCTGGCTCTCGGACACACTCCCAGGGGTGACATAAAATGGTACGGCCACCTTGGAGGACAGTTAGGGGGTTTCGCTGAGAGGTAAACCTAATTTTACTATGTATATTAGTTTCTTTTGGATGCTGCCATGCATCATCATAAATGTGGTGGCCTGAGAACTATAACTCATTCCTTCTTAGTTCTGGGAACCAATTATCTAAAAGGAGTTTTCCAGCAAAGGCTCTAGAGGACACTCTGTTCCTTGCCTCTTCTGGTTTCCAGTGACCGCAGCTTCTGTGGCTTGGAGCTGTGGCCCTTTCACTTCCTGTGTCCTCCCATCACTGCCTCTGTGTGTTTCTGCCACCTCCTTTCTTGTGATGACTTTTAGGGTCCATTTGGATAACCCAGAAATATCACCTGATCCAAAAGTCCTTAATTGTATCATTCCTACAAAGCTTCACCAGATAAGGTAACATACAGATATCATCAGATTAGGACCTGATATGCTGCCTACTCTGAAACACAAACCAACAGTCACACTTCCTTGGTGTTTACCCTAGAGGAAGGAAAATGTATGTCTGCTGCACAAAAATCTCTATACAAATGGTTATAGCAGCTTTATTTGTAAGAGACAAAAACTGGAAACCAGGCGTGGTGGCACACACCTATAATCTCAGCTGCTTGGGAGGCTAAAATGAGAGGATCACAAGTTCAAAGCCAGCCTGGGCAACTCAGCAGGTCTGTGTTTCAAAATAAAAAATAAAAAGAGTAGGGAGCAAGTTAATTAGCTATCTTGTAGGCAGTTAGACAGAGCCAACCCACTATCAGCCAACATGGAGGACAATCAAGACACTTTCACTGAGGGCCGGCATTGTAAAAGAAGGGAAACTGCCACACCCACATAGGATAAATAGCAATGATTGATATTCTAAATAGGTATCAGTCACCTGGGTGGGAGACCAAGATCTTCCAGGAAAGATCCCTGACCCACCCCTTACCAAAAATCCTTACACAGTTCCTTGTATGCTCCTGATTTGCTTCCCCCTTGGATCTCCAATTTAATCAGTATTACCTAAGAGACAATACTGCTTGTAATCTTATTGGTTGATCATAGTTTTGCCCACTTTATGATTTCTCATTGGATCAGTATTACCTAAGCAACTGTACTTGCAATCTTATTAGTTGACTATAGTTTTGTGCCAGTTTGAACCCGCCTCACCTCATGGCTTTATCCTATAAAACACCTTTGAGAAGCAGAGTCAGTAGGCAACCCATTTTCTGGTCCCCCTTCCTTCTCTCTTAAGACAGAAGCTATCTTTCTCTCAATACATTTTCTTACTCTTAGAAAAAGAGGGGTGGGGACATAGTTCAATGGGAGAGCACTTGCACCTCCCCCCAAAACCCAGAAATAAACTGGTAACAACCTAAATGTCTTTCCACGGACAAATAAGACAACCACACCATGGAATACTACACAGCCATAGAAAGGAATTTATTCTCAGTACATGTGATGACTTAGATGGATCTCAAAGATATTAATTGGGCTGAGTGAAAAGAAAAACAATTTCAAAAGGTTGAATATGAGAAAAAAGGTTGAATATGCTGCATTTCATTCATATAATATTTCTAAAATGCCAAAATATAATTGTGGAGCATTAGGTTAGCGGTTACTAGGAGTTAGGTATAAGAGGCAGGCCTACCTATAAAGAGGGAGTGTGAAGAAATTTTGTGGTAGTGGGAAAGTTCCTTATCCTGATCATGGGAGCAGTAGTTACATAAATTTACATATGTGGTAAAACTCCATTATACAGCAAGGAAGTACACATAAAAGCTGATAACAGACCCTTAGTTAATCGTGTATTATCAATGTCATCTCCTAGTTACAAAACAAACAAAAAGGAAAATGTGCTGGCTCTAGAGATGAGAGATTCCCAAAGTGGGACTGACTTCCGATGTGATTTGTGCAGAGGTTCGTGGTGCTCACTGCAGCCCAGTTCTGATTCTCTCACTCAGCCCTCTGTCTTGGGCTGCTTCCTCCTGGGGTGACTTCTGTCATGGTCATAAGTTGGTGGCCTTAGAGCCATGTGCTCTCTGTTCTCATCAAGCCAGGAGGAAAAAGAGGGTGCTGTCCCTTCACCAAGAAATTTTTTTTAAAAGATGGTGCCTTGGGCTGGGGATTTAGCACAGTGCCACTGCGCCTGCCTTGTAAGCACAAGGTCCTGAGTTCAATCCCCAGCACCAAAAAAAACCCCCCCAAAACCAAAAAAACCCAAAAGATGGCACCTTGAGCTCTACTCTGATTGGACCATCTAAGTCCAATTTAAAAACCCTAAAACCAATGACTGTAGCCTGGGAAAGGCTATGCATTGAATATCCATCCCTGTGGCAAAAGGATACCACTACATTATTGGCTCAGCTCAGCGAGGTTCCACTCTTGGAGCTGAGATGGGCCAATCTCACCCAAGTATAATTGCTGTTGTCTAGACTGGACACTGTTGGGGACGTTGAACAACCAATCCTTGGTTGTACTTCCTTCTTGAGATTTACCCTTCCCTTAGCATCAGAGATGCCATTCTTCCTGGATACTCTGGGTGACAGTATCTTAAATCATAGAGTTCCCTAGGCAGAGAAGCTGTAAGATGCCATTCCCAGCAAAAGAAACAGCACAAAGGCCTAGAGATGAGAGAATGACCCATTTAGGGAAAAATGAGAAATTTGGTGTGGCAAAGCCTAGTGATCTTGGGGAAAGAGTGGTACTAACAAATCCAAAGAGGAAAGATGGGCTAGTTCATAAAGAGGTTTGAGTGCTACCTCAGGATGACAGGGGATCTAATCTTTGAGAAGGATTAGAACCTGAACTCCCCTGACCTTAGAAAGAAGCCTCTTGATACAACATGGAGGAAGGACTGGAGGGATCCTGGCCAGAGGCTGTTCCAGGGGTCTAGACAAAGATAAGACCCTGACCTAAGGTTGTGGCCTTAGGACAGAGAGAAACAGGTGGGTGTGGCAGATGGTGATCACACGGAGTCAGCTGGACCTGAGGTACTGCCCAGCTTGGAAATGGTTGGCAGAGAAGGTGTGAGAGATGGCTTGAATTTCTGGCTGACACACTTGGTACAGTGCTTTATCCAAAAAGGCAGAGATGCTTGATTGTGTCAAATGCTCCTGTTAAGTCAAGGGAGATAAGGAGTGACAAGTGACTGTAGGATTTAGTGACAAAAATGTTTTCTGGGCATTTTGATTTTTGTTTCTTTAGTGCTAGGGCAGAAAAGTTTTAAGGTGTGGTAGGAGCAGAAACCAAGTAAGTCACACAGAAAAAGTCATGAATTAGTGCAAGGAAAAAGGACAACTGAGCTTCCTCATGAGCTCAGATATAAGAGGAAGAAAGAGGACAAGGCAGTCGATGAAGAGAATCAGTGTGTTTAAAAAAACCCAGCATCCCTCTGCATACTAGCTGTGTCTCAAGCTTGTATTACTGTCTTCAACAGGAATTTTTAACAGTACCTACTTCACAGGGTTATGGTGAAATCCAATCTTCCCACTGATAACAATTATTTTTTCATCTGTCCCCTGCCAAAATTCTGAATTCAGGGGAAACTGACAGCTCCTCATGTGTGATGCGGTGAATCATCAGCAAATCTTTAACTGAATGGTGCAGCTAAGACTCTGAACGTAGCACACTGCCCAAGGTAAGCACTAGAGGAGGCAGCCTGGGCTGTGATTCTGGTGGGGACTCTTGCTGTTTTTCAGGTCTCAATGAGGTGCCCCCTGTCTGCCAAGGCATGAACACAGGCATAGCAATGGAGGTGCGGGGAGAGAACCCTCTTGGGCACAGCTACAGCTTGAACCCACAGTTGGAAAGCAATGAGAGGAGGGCTTTGAACTCCAGGTGGCTTTTCCAGCACTGCTTTATGGCCACAGTGACTGCCAGTGACATTCCAGGCAGTCCTGAGGAAGCAACTGCCTGCCACCCAGACCCATGTGGACCAGTCCCATAAACACCTAATAAACGTGTCAGAATCATCCCTTCGGAGTCTTTTTTTAGTGAAAGGTGGGAGTAAGATGATCAGAGGGGTCCTTGGAGCCTGGCAGGATAAATGAGGGCTTTTGCCAGAAAAGGCACCCAGGTCTTGCTGTGGACCCAGCTACGCTGACCCACTGGCCCAACTGAGTGCCAGGAAGAATGGCCAGCAACAACTCCATACAGTCAGTGAGAAGCCTGGGCCTGCGGAGGCTCTGAGAGCCTCCTAACTGAGGAAGTCAGACAGCTTTGACTTGGTTTCCCTGCCCCACAGTAGGTATATTTAGGAACTGCTAGGAAAGGATCAGCTCTCAGAAGGGTGTCCCTACCTCTCCAGCGACTCTGCCCATCCCAGCACGAGCTACTACTCACCGAGGAGCAGAGTGAGAGGAGTGTGGTGTGCACAGGTTTCAGCCTTCATCCCATCTCATAGTGGACGAAGGAGCGAATGAGCGAGTGAGAAAGTGAAGGTTTGCAGGCAGAAGCAGGCTCCAGAGGGTGGATGAGGCCAATTCCCGAAACTTGAAGCTTCGCTAAAGTCCCTTAGTCTTCCCTTGTGGGATTAAAATAAATGATGAATGAAGTGATGGATTGAACTCACTTTGTAAACATTAAAATTCTGAAGGAATTTTTAAGTCACACATAGATGTTTTTCCATATAACATAGTCATGAAGAATGGGAACTGTAGAGCCAAAGGCCTGGTTAAAATCCTGTCCCTGCCACTTGCTGAGTAGCCTCTGTGCCTCGATTCTCTCATCTGTTCAAATGGGGGAACTAGTAATACTCACATGCTAGGGCTTGGGAGAAGATTACGTTACCTAGTCCACACTAAATAAGTCTTGGCAAACCAAAGGTACTATGTGTAAGCTATTATAAGATTTTTTTTTTTTTTTGGTTGTTGTTAAGCTGATCTGGCTGCTATCCTAACCATGGAAAAAGCTTGAGGGAGTTCAAGGCAAGGATCAGGGGATTCAGCAGCCACTGAAAGCAGCACTTGGTATTTCAGACAGTGATGTGATCTGCTGCCAGATTTGGCACCAGGGAGATGGTCACTCTTAGATATTTGAGCACAGGTACTGAGCCAGCTGGAGGCGGATGGTAGAGTAGGAAGGCAGGTTGATCTGCCCACAGATGCAGCCTGGGCTGGAAGTCAAAAGACCTTGTTCTGAACTTGCTTTATGTGATGTGTGTGTGCGCGTGTGTGCGTGTGTGTGTGTGTGTGTGTGTGTGTGTGCTTTTATTTTCAGGACTCCAAACTCTGTACTTTTGTCTACTAATGGCACTTGTTACCGGTCAGTTATGTTCACGTGCTTACGTTCAATTGCTTGCCACTGACCAAATCAAAGGAGACCGTATATTTTGCTAAAAAGGAAAAAGGATTTACACAAAGCTAGCCCTGAGAAGATGGAGAGGGCCATTTGCCTCAAAACCACCATCTCACGGTGTGCCGATGGGTAAGGGCCTTTTATAGCAAGGAACAGAAGGAAGGGGTGCAGAAGGATAATGCAGATCTCTCTGCTGCGTTACTGTTTCCAGCCGTCTTCAGGCCATTGGCCCCTTTATTGCAGACAGGAAACCAGGATCCTGCCTCCTGGGGTTAGCCTCTAGCACATTCTGTCACTTTGTCTGAGGTGAGGAGGATGGTGTCTGTTATGTGTTCAGCAACAGAAAATTTAGAGAAAATGCTTATCTCTACACAAAAAGTCTAACTTTTAAAATTCATTTCACAGCACCACTTACACACTCAACGGCATCTATTCCATGCCAGGACCGTGCAGGTTTCCAGGGAGGTTCACATGGGCGTGAGGTGGGCACACAGAAAGGCAGAAGGCTTCTGGTGGCATCTGTATGCCCGAGGGGGGGTGCATGGAGTCTGAGCTGAGTCATCAGAGATGAGTCAAAGTTCCCAGGTTGAGACAGGGTTGGAAGACGTCATCATGGTCAGAGTACACCCTGTTCAAAACCAGTGCGCAGAGCCCAGCGTGGTCCCAGACACCCAAGTCATTTGAGAACCCTTAGGGTACTGCATGTACTCATGTGTGTGTGTGTGTTGTGTGGGGGGTGTTAGCGGTTGGTGACAGTTAAGGGGTGAAGGTGCGGTCACTGATGCTTGATGGTGACCTTTCACAGGACACACTTCGTCCCCGTCCTGGGTATTCTCATCACTAAGATTCGATTTTTCTCTGCACACAGTCTGTGCTGGACCTTCTGGGAAGTTACAAAGGAGACTCGGATGACACGGCCCTGGGCTTTAGGCTGGTCACAGTCTGGCAGGGGGAGATGAATCTACAAATTCTAAAAGCTCAGCTGGTCTAGTGTGGGCCCCGGCATGCTTCTGCCTACATCAGAATCAGCTGAGGGCTTGTTGAAACACAAATTACTGCCAGGCGTGGTGGGGCATGCTTGCAACCCCAGCACTCTGGGAGACTGAGGCAGGACGATTGGCAAGTTCAAGTCCAGACTGAGCAATTTAGTAACTTAGCAATGCCTTATCTTTAAAAAAAATTTTTTCAATTTTTCTTGGGGGTGTTCTGGGGATCAAACTCAGGACCTTGCACTTGCCAGGTAGCCATGGTGCCATGGAGCTACATCCCCGGCCTCTGGCAAGACCTTGTTTTAAAAAAAAAAAGATTAGTAATAATAATTGCTGAGGATGTAGCTCAGTGCAAAGGCTTTGGGTTCAATCCCCAGTGCCTAAAACCAAAATTCAAAATAATAATAAAAATATAAGTCAAAAAAAATATTTTAGAAACACAGGTTGCTGCTCCTTGCACCCCCCAACTCCCCTTTCCAGTGTCTGGGTCAGAAAGGCCAGCAATAAGTCCCTAGCATTTGCATTTCTAACAAATCCCAGGTGCTGCTCTTGCTGCCGGTCTAGAACCTCCTTTTGAGCACAAACCGACCTGAAAGACAAAGACAAGCTTTAAGGCCTCTGAGCGCTAAGGCTAGGAAGACATTTCTCACGGAGCCCGGCCCTCCAGACTAGAGTCGAGTCCCCAGCCGGGCCCATATGTACGGGGTGGGCACAGGTGGGAGACAGAGTGTGTGTCCTTCACCTCGCGGTCCCGCCCGCGCTCGCACTCGGGGCAGCTTCTCCGTCTTCACAGCAGGTCTCTCACTGTCTGAGCCCCGCTTGCACCACCCTCCCCCGGGGTGCCTGAGCTGGGAGGAAGCCGGGTGGGCTGACGCACAGATAGAAATAGTCTGAGCTCACTGCCGCTCCCGGGCACACATCGACCGGCAATTATTTCTTGTAAATTGCTTTCCCGGTGATGTTCAGAACATGTGTGTGTGGCTGCCTGAGAACAAACACTCCGAGGTCACGAGGAGGAGGCGGCCGGGGGCTGTGGAGGGGCTCCAGATGGAGAGGAGGCTTCGTCCAAATCTTCACCACCTATTACAGCCTTTGGAAAACTGGGACTTGGAAATAGACCCGTCCACCCCGCTTCAGAGCACGGCCTGCCAGGTGGGCTTCTAACCTCTCCCCAAACATTTGCCTTGGTTTGTCCATTTCAGCACTGACTGACAGAGATTCTTTTTCAAGTGAGGGGATCTCGGTCCCTGGGTCCGAGGAGGTCACGGCTCTCTGTAAATGTCCATAGGTGATAACTCCAAGTATGGCAAGCCATTATGGTGAGCCTTGACACAGGCCTAGCCATGATTGAACTTTGAGTCACCTCGCTGGCACGGAGGTACTCTCGCCCATAGCCACGGGTGAGTTCAGCTAGTAGCAGATGTAACCCATAATGGTTGTTGTTTCCCTCTGGAATGTGTGGGCGGTACCCTCGCTCCCTCGCTCCCTCCCTCCCTCGCTCCCGTGCAGCCCTCGCTTCCATGCAGCTGGAGAGTATAAAAAGGAGAGGTTCTGTAATAAACCAAGCAAGCAACATAAGAAGAAAGGTGCCTCCCGTCTTTCTGTCCTCATCCTTTCAGGTTTAGGACCTGCGGGCAGGGTCCTGACGTCGCAGCTCGCGACATCCAAGGACCCAGCCAGGACTCTCAGGAGGCTTCCTGGAGAAAATGATGTCTGATCAGTCATGGAGAGCCCACTAGCAGCTGAAAGGGAGCTTGTGCTTGGGGTGAGGAACAGCATTCAAGGGAGAGAGAATGGCAGACAGCGAGGCCCATTGCTTAGAAAGGGCATATGATCATTTTGAAGTAGGAGAGAAGAAATAAACATAAATATAATAAAGACAAGGAAAATCATAATTGGGGGGTGGGCACTGGGAATTGAACTCGGGTCCTTGCACTTGGGAGGCAGGCAGCAGAACCACTGAGCTCAATCACCAGCCCGAAAATTATAATTTTTAAATTGCATTTTTAAGAAAATTGCAGCTTCAGGACATAATTAAAATACCCAAGGTTACCATACATTTGTGTGTGTGTGTGTGTGTGTGTGTGTGACAGAGGATCGAACCCAGGACCTTGGCAATGAACTTTATCCCCAGACCATTTTTAAATTTTCATTTTAAGATAGTCTTACTAAATGGCCCAGGCTGGGCTCAAACTTTCAATCCTCTTCTCTCAGCCTCCCAGAATGTGGGAATTACAGGTGTGTACCACTACACCTGGCTACAATGATTTCTTTTTTCCCCTTCTAGGAAAATCACCTCAGAACTCCTTAGGGTTTCAAAAGATAAAATGAGAATCAACTATGGTGACCCAAACCTGTAATCTCAGCATTGGGAGGCCAAAGTGGGAGGATTGTAGTGAGTTGGAGGCCAGCCTGGACTATAGAGGGAGCCCCTGTGTCAAAAAACCAAACAATAAGGGCTGGGGATTTAGCTCAGCGGTTTGGTGGCCTGCCTTGCAAGCGCAAGGACCTGAGTTCAATCCCCTGTACCACAAACAAACAAAAACAAACAAACAATAGGGCCAGGGATTTAGCTCAGTGGTGCTGCCACTTGCCTCATAAACACAAGGTCCAGGGTTTGATCACCAGTACAAAAAAAAAAAAAAAAA